CAACAATCTCGGTTTTCACCAATTTGTACAGGAACCAACTCGTGAAAACAATATTCTTGATCTTGTATTTTCAAATAATATCTCTTTTCTTAGTCTTACTTCAGTTGAATGTCCTTTCAGCACCAGTGACCATAACACTGTCCACTTCTCTATTAATATAAATGATCTCGATCAGTCAAATAAAAATATTGAATCCTTCTACGACTTCGTTAATGCCCACATTGATGGTTTTCAGTCTTATTTATTAAATATTAATTGGGACTTCGAGTTTTCCTTTTTTTTTTACAGTTGAAGATTATTGGAACGTTTTCTCCAATCATTTTTGCAATGGTATTCATCAATTTGTTCCAATTAGAAAGAGTAATTTTAATAAAAAAATAAAACACTACCCGAGTTTTATCGGGAAAATGTTAAATCGTAAAGTTTTCTTATGGAAAAGATGGTCAAATACTAAAAACAATTCACACAAAAAGCATATAACAAATACGCTAGTAAATGTAAAAAATCACTACTTACTTACCAAATGAGAGTCGAACTTAAACTTGTAAAGGAAAACAATATTAGCAAACTTTTTAATTACGTTAATAGAAAATTAAATAACTCTAAAAGTATTTTTCCTCTAAAAGACAAAAACAATAATAATAAGATAACTTGTTGTAACAAAGAAATTGCTGACGTGTTTAACAAACACTTTGGCAGTGTCTTTACAAATGATAACAATTGCTCTCCATTTATTAATAGTTATGTTGATGATTCAATTGGTATTGAAACTGTACTATTTCCACCAGAAGCAGTGTATAAATTTTTGTAGGAAATTAAAGCCAGCACATCGTACGGTCCTGATGGCATACCAAACATACTTCTGAAAAAATTAGCTCATCTATTGTGTGTTCCACTCTCATTTATATTTGATGCCAGTTTTAAGTCAAGTTCTTTACCTAAACAATGGCGCCAAGCTTTTGTATCTCCAGTTTTTAAAAAAGGAGCTACTGCAGATCCAAAAAATTTTAGACCCATCTCACTGTCATGCATTTACTGTCGAGTCATGGAAAGAATGATCAATGTGTATGTCATAAAGTATTTAGGTCATCATAATTTAATATCTCTTAATCAACATGGTTTCCTCAACAAACGTTTAACCAGTACAAATCTCTTAGAATCTGCTAATGATTGGAACACCGCACTCGATAACCATCAAATAACGGATGTTGTCTATATTGATTTCCAAAAAGCGTTTGACTCTGTCTCGCATACCAAACTATTAGTAAAACTTGCATCCTATAACATAAAAGGTAATATTTTTAATTGGATTTCCGCTTTTCTCACCGATAAATATCAACAAGTCAAGGTCGGTAATTCCATATCAAACTCTATACGCAATGTTAGTGGAGTTCCACAGGGTAGTGTGCTAGGTCCCACATTGTTTTTATTACATGTTAATGATTTAACCACTATAACTAATAATCTGGACTGTTGTGTAAAACTTTACGCAGATGATATAAAGTTGTATAGCTCGTATTGTGATATGGATCTAAGCCAAGATTTAGTTGTTGCTTTAAATAGACTTTTACAATGGGCAGAAACTTAGCAACTAATAATTGCTTCTAGTAAGTGTTTTGCCTTTAGAATAGCACCTCCCTCATTATGCAAAGGTATAAAGGTTAACTATAAATTAGGTGAATATTCTTTGGCTTGGTCTTCAAACCCAAAAGATGTAGGAGTAACAATGGACCGTAACCTTAATTATAAAAAACATATTTTTAACGTCATCCATCAAGCTAACTCTAGAGCATACTTAATTTTGAAATGTTTTAAAATACGTGACCCATGTATCCTAGTTAGAGCTTTCACTACCTATATACAACCAATTATAGAATATTGTTCTCCAGTATGGTCAGCACACCAAATTGGATTGATTAAACCAGTTGAAAGTGTCCAACGAAAATTTACAAATTAAATAAGGAGCCTCAGAAATCTTTCCTATCATAATAGATTACAGTTGCTTAGTATCGAATCACTCGAAGTTCGGCGCCTTAAAAACTATTTAGTAACTTGCTTTAAAATTTTTTGTAAACTTGTCTGTACTGATCAATCTATGTTCTTTGCGATTGACAATAACAGCCACACCCGGGGTTATAAGTATAAAATAAACAAACAATCTTGTCGCTTGGATTTAAGAAAATATAGCTTATCGAGTTGTTGACATGTCCTATCTATATTTTTAACTGTTTAAGGATGCTCCATGCCATACAGCACATTCGATCACTGATCATTTCCTTAAAAGTAATACTCAACTCATGGAGCTGGATGGATTATCAACTAACAAAAAAGCAAATAACTAGTCACGAAATACTCAAACAAGAACTGACCAAACTGTGACTTGAAATATCAAGATGATTGAAAACTTGATTGAATAAATGCCAAGGCGAATACAAGCATGTATTAAAAACAACGGGGGTCATAATTTGTATTAATATATTTCGATTAAAAGAAGTTCTAGGTGTGTTTAAACTTTATTGTACTTTTTTCTAAGTAATCTCAACTAAGTAAACTCAAGTAATCTTTTGATTACTTGAGTTTGTTATTTAATTTTAAAAAAGACATAGTTTTTTATTCAAAGTTGTGTTTTTTTCTTAATTAATAAACAGCTAAGAAAAAGAAAAAAAAACCTGGTCCCTGCCTCATGTTTTCTTTTTGTACCACTCTAAACATACCTTAACTTTTAAAAAAACAAGTGCTTTTAAACTTTCTGTATAAAGTATATATATATATATATATATATATATATATATATATATATATATATATATATATATATATATATATATATATATATATATATATATATATATATATATATATATATATATATATATATATATAACAAGCAATACAAGTATATATAAATAAACAAGGTTCTAAACTTAACTGGATATAATATATAACTGGATATAACTATATATATTAACTGGATATATATATATATTAATGGATATAACTATATATATTAACTGGATATAACTATATATATATATATATATATATATATATATATATATATATATATATATATATATATATATATATATACATATATATATATATATATATATATATATATATATATATATATATATATATATATATATATATATATATATATATATATATATATATATATATATATATATATATATATATATATATATAAACAAGCTCATTAGTTTTAATAATAATTTTAGGATCAAGATGGATAAGAGGAGAAGCTTCACAAAGTTTTATAAATTGTGGATTAATTACAAGGTTTGTAGCATTATTCAGCATCTTACCAAATGGTCCTGACTAATGATTGCTGGATTTAGTATGACCATCAAGAAACTTAATTACTATTAAGACTTTGTAACCCTAATTCTCCAGTGTGTAGGTCACATACAATCCATACAAGTTTCCTAATAAGTTTTTTTTCAACCCACTGTATCACTCCTCCTGCCCATCCAGTATTTATATTGGTACTGTCACAACCTATGGCTTCTAATGTCAAATGGAAAGATCTTTCTTTAAGCCATTCAATTAAATGATCTGCAATTATCTCTGCAGATTTTTTTACATCCGATTCTTCAGGAATAAAGTGAAATAAATAATTTCCGCCAGGTTTACTGCACACAGTATAATATTCTTTTTTTACTAGCACTGGGAATTTCCTACCTTCCGCATCAAAAAAGATTTTAGTGTCATCTTTTCTACTGTCAAAAAGAATGCAACTCAAACCATTATTGTTTAGTTCACTTTAGAGTTTTGAAGTCAACTCTTTTCCAATTTTTTCTTGTGCTCGTCTAACTTTGTTATTATCAATAATATTTAGTATTACCTTCTGTGAAAAGTTTAGCATCGATAAGGGCAGCAGTTGGTATTTCTGCAGTTTCTCTTAACCCTGTATGATGCCTTAAGCTTGCTAATGCTACATTACTTATATTCATGGTGTTATATTTTTTACTTTTCTTTTTTCTAAAATATTCATTTATACTTCATTATTTGAAATACCAGAGACTTTGTTTGAGTCACTTTCGGGTAAGAAGATCTTAGTTTCATTTTCTTTATTTAAAATTTCCAGGTCTTTTTTTAATTTTTTTATTCGTGATGCGTGATTTTCTATTAAATACCTTTTCAAACTTTTGTTTTGTTTCTTAGTTTCAATATGATCAATGCCACCTTTCTGAAGCAAACCTTTGGTTCCGATTTTTTATCTTTGATATCTAACAATATTTAATTAAAGGAGAGGAATTTTTTGATCTTTTTTACAAGCACATTCAATGTGCGCTTTTCTGTCACAATTTTCTTTACAATTAATCTCTATGCAAAACATAATTTTACAATTGCAAGTAAACAAATCAAAAAGTTTATCAAGTCTTTCCATAAATTTTTCTGTAATTGATATAGCTGCATTACCACTACTAATTTGAACAGCTAATAACCATAGCTTATTTACTTTATATTTAACTCTTCGTTCAGAATTTATAACTGGACTTACGAATTTAGCATTTGCTTGAAAATTCCTGGAAAAATTTTCTTAACAAGCTGATCAACAGTATGGTTTCTGTGGCCTTTTTCACTTATCTCCCTTAAATTAGGTACGTGGACTGATTTTTTTAAATTTATCAAATACTAGAATGTTATATATGAAAGCCCTCAAATACAGTATTTTAAAGGTGAAAAAATTATGAAAATCGGACAATTCTATCAAAAGTTATGACGTTTTAAGTAGCAAATTTTCGATTTATGGATTTCTTGATAAAACTGTGGTCAAAAAAAAATTTCTTTTCACATAAATTGTTATAACTTTGCTAATTCTTATTCAAATATCTATAACTTGGTATCGAAAGATAGGTGTAAAAAAGGGCTATAACAGGGATCCGGAGGGGGTGCTAATCCACCACCTACACCTCACAAAAATACACTTTTTTTCATAAAAAAGTGTTTTTCTTTTAAAAATTACAAATATCTATATACAAAAAATTGTTATTATTTTATTCCACATCACTAGTGAATATTACAAGTCTATCTCAAAGTCGGGTGTTGGGTTTTGAATAAGGTTTAACACACCCTATCAAAATTTTATTCTTTTAAATATTTCAATCTTTACTAAAACAATTAATTTTAGTATAAAAAATAAAAAATATATTTCGATACTTGGAAAAATAGTAACTAGTGGTGTATAAATTGACTTCATGGAAGGGGGTGTAAGCCGCCCCCCTTCCTCCCAATACCTAAAAAAAAAGTTTTAATTAGAATTTAACAAAAAAAGTTTAAAAATTCTTTTTAAACACATAAAATAGTATAAAAAACTGTTTTACCATGTTACAGTGGTGTATAAATTGCCTTCATAAAAGGGGGTGCAAGCCGCCCCCTCTCCGCCCAATACCTAAAAAAAAAGTTTTTATTAGAATTTAACAAAAAAAGTTTAAAAATGCTTTTTAAACACATATAAAACAGTATAAAAAACTGTTTTACCATGTTGCAAGACTGCAAATAGATACAGCAAGTTTTGTGGCTTGCATTGATTTATGTTTTGAATTCCATTTATGAACTAAATAAATCATTTTTAATGATAGACACCATGTGAAGGTAAGCCAGAGCCATCTATCAAAAAAAATTTATCTTGTTTTCAGTGAGAAATAGTGTAAATTCTATCATTTTGTCTTTTGCTTTTTCTAGTCTACCATCATAAATGATAGACTTTGATGAGTCAGTATCATACCATTCATGACAGAGTTTTCTGCCAGCAATTCTTTCAGACATCACATCATCTAAATCTTCAAGTTGTTTTGCAGATAAGTGTTTGTATAAATTCATCTTTTCAATGATAGTTAAGATTTCAAAGCATTATGAAGCATTTTATATAAACCCTTACAAAAAAAAAATTAAAAACTTTTATTTAGAATTGGCTTATTTAATATAAAATACTTTTATAAAATATAAATAAGCATTAAAGTTTTTCAAAAACGAAGAACAATCATAAAAAAATATTTCAATTTATACATTAACCTGCAGAAGATTGTGCTGCAGGAACTTAAAGTTAAAAATTGATGTAAACAACAAAAATAAAATGAAATTGGGATTAAATTTATAGTATAATTTTAATGAGATAGACTATGCACTGCTAACAAAAAAATAGTTTTTTAACATACCGACCAAAGCAGATGTAGATGCAGCTAAAAATCAAAAAAAAAATGTAATTAACAAAATAAATGACTTTTTTAGAAAAATCAAAACACTGCTGAAAAATATTTAGTTTTTAAACTTACTATTTGTGAAAAGGATGTACTCAACCAAAAAAATATTTGATTTAGGCATTAAATTATTACAGAGATTAAAAAGTAATAGCTTTTAAACTTAGTAACTGTGGCAGATATAGATTAAAAAAAGGTGTAACCAAGTGAAAAAGTATTAGAAATTGGCCTTACATACACATATTACATACAAAGTGAACAAAGAAATAGCTTTTAAACTTTCTAAATGTGGTAGATGTTGATGAAACTAAAAGTAAAAAAAAAGCTGTAAACAAAAATAAAATTGAGTTTGATATTAAATCTATAGTATAGCCATAACAAAAGAAATGATTTCGACATCCACAGTAGGTGTCGATAAAGCTTAATGTAAAAAAGGTGTAATTAATAGCAAAAAAGAAGGATGTAGATGCAACTAATATTACGAAAAGATGCAATATAAAAATAAACGAAAAAAGTTGAAAATGGGATTAAATCAATACATAGATGGAACTACAACTAAAATTAAAAACAAAATGGATGCTATCTACAAAAAAAAAAGATATTGGCAATAAATCTTTCACAAGTTAAAAAATAATAGCTTTTAAATTTACTAATCACAGTTGTTTAAGAAATGACTTGAGATAAAAAACATATGAATTAAACCAAAGCATACATTAAATTTCTACTTATATAAACATGACCGAAATTGCAATATACAAACTTACCAGTGAAAGGCTGAGTTGATTGGACTAAAATTAACAAGAAAACTGTATATCAAAATAAAAAAAACACGTTAAATTTGACAACAGTAAGTGAATAAGTGACAACAATCAAACAAGTTCTGGATAATGTGCAACAACTTTATTGATAAAGTATATAATGAAAACATAATTACACAAGTAAACATTAAGAAAGGTTGTATAATGATTTAAACAATAAAAGAAAGATTATAAAAAAGATATCTTTTGTATTAAAAAACTTTTAAGGCATCAAAATGTTTATTTTATTATGAATAACATTAAAGATTATATTGTTCATGTCATCCCTATATGTCACTATTATCTATCATATCTATACATCACTATCATATCGATACATCTATACATCACTATCATATCTATACACCTATACATCACTATCATTCCTATACACCTATATATCACTATCATATCATATCTATACACTATACACTACTATCATATTACTATACATCACTATCATATATCACTTACGGTATCTCAAAAACTGATGAAATAGTAAGCCTGCATCTAAACAAGAAAGAAACATTAGAAATGTTTGTGTAATGATTTAAACAATAATTAAAAGACTAAGTATTATACAATAGATAAATCATAAAAAATTAACATACCAAATGTTCTCAATGTAGATAAAACATAAGGTAAAAAAAATGTAAAGAACAAAACATACATAGTTTTTGCCAACAAATCTATACATAGTTGTTTTTTAAAAAAAGTTTTCAAACTTACCAACCATAGCAGATGGTGACAAAGCTAAAGGTAAAAAAATTAACCAAAATAACTTTGATTTCGACATTAACTCTATACAGATCTGAAAAAATATGCCACTGGCAGATGTTGATAAAACTAAAAGAAAAATAAAGTGTCATCAAATAAAAAAAAAAAAGGTATTAAACTTATAGTATAGCTTTAAAGAATAAGTAGAAACACCTAATAAAAAAATACTTATTTAACTTACCAACTGCATCAGATGACGATGAAGCTAATGTTAAAAAAGGTGTAATATATAAAAAAAAAATACACATTTTTGGCAACAAATCCAATAAAACAATTTTGTAAAGAGCAAAAAAAAGTACTGTGTAAATAACAAATAAAATAAAGGTGTAAATAACGAAAATTAGGGGTTACTTAAAAAAAAGCATTGAGTAGGTTTTATCTAGTCAATGATTTTCAAAAGTTTAACAAAAAAATACTTGTAAAAGTAATAAACAATAGTATTATTATGAAAAAACATATGAAATTACTATCTGTTTGATTACCCAGTTCATTTATATTATTCATTTTTTTAATTACTAACAATCTAAGTGAAACAATACGCAATAAACATTTTTTAAGAAGAAAAAAAACTCTCTTCCCCTCAGCCCCACCTCGGCTATTTTTGAAAACAGAAATTAGGTACCAAAAGTGTTTAACTGAATTAACTAATTGCTACATAATATTTTTTCATGAAATTTGGCAGGTGCAAAAGAAATGCATGTAGAAACTTATTTAAAAAATCAAAAAAGCGGAATATAGATTCCTTCAACAATAATTGAACAAGTAAACATCAACATAATTTTCATGAGCAAAATAGTCAAAAAAAAGGTATGACAATCATGTAAAAAAATAACACAAAAAACAAGCCTAACTCTTCTTCTTTCTGAAAATATACTATGTGTATATACGTTTCTGTAAAAAAAACCAACAAAAAATCGTTTGCCTAACCCTACTCAAAATAATGAGACGGGAAATCCGCTAAAAAAAAATCGGAAAAACAGAAATTAGGTACTAAAAGTGCTAAACTGATTTAACTATCTGCTACACAATATTTTTCAATAAAATTTGGTATGTGCAAAGAAAATGCATGTAAAAACTTATTTAAAGAATCAAAAAAGCGGAATAAAGAGTCCTTCGACAAGAATTTGACATGTAAACACCAACCTATTTTTCATGAGCCAAATGCTCCAAAAAATGGTAAGACAACTGTACGTAAAAATAACATAAAAAACAAGCTTAACTCTTCTTCTTTCCAAAAATATACTATGTTTATATATGTTTCCGAAAAGGAACTTCTCAAAAATACGTTTGCCTTAGGCTACCTAAAAAAAACGTCAAAAAAACGAGTCACAGAATTTTAGCACAAAATTCGGCTCCGTAAATCGCTATTTCCGCGTACCTACTTAAATCATAGTCATAATATATTATGACTATGCTTAAATACAATCCATACTTTAGGACATCTTGAGAGGTTGTGAGCTCAGATGGAAGAAACTCTGAACCTTTTCCAATCAATTTACTTAGCTGACAAGCCGATTTACTTCTGGTTTTGAGGGTGTTTAACATCTTTAGTTTAATTAATTGAAAATCAAGTTTTTAGAACTAATAACCTTTTCAAAAATACAACAAAATAAACAACCTTGCAAAACGGAGAGTGAATTTTTAGAATTTAATTTTCGTCAGTATATTGTCCGTTTAACTAAATTTGCAAACTGTACAAATTTTTGTTTTTTAGATGATTTGGTAGAATAATCTCCAAAGAATAACTGCGTTCTTCTTTGGAGATTACAGAAAATTTCAGTTTTCAAAAATAAAAACAGTCCACAAAAAAAAAAGTTTCAAGTAAAAAAAAGTAGCTTAAAATTATTTTTTTCAGAAAAAAAATTATTTTCATGCTTTTCATACTGATTTACATTAAAAAAAAAAAACTAGCCATAATCAAATTTCCAAAACAAGTGAAAATCGACACACCCTAGTGGGTAATTACCGCAACGCCAATATTGCAAAGATGGAAGATTATCGCAAAAACAAAACTAATTGAATAAGAATTATTGCGATTCCAAAGTATTTAAAATTTATATCAAAAAACGCTATGCAAAATTATGCAAAGGTTGATGATATTGTAGCAATTTAATTTGATCTATACATGGCCAGCGCGAGTAGGTGTCACGTGAGGGGGGGGTTACAACTTTTGCCGACTAAACGTGGGGGCAATTACAACTTTTGCCGACTAAAAAAAAAAAAAAAGTCCTCGTTTTCGACAATTTGCCAACTGCCATGTCGACATTTGCTGACTAACTAGTCAAAGTGGGTCAAATTTGCGGACTAAAAATCATTGATGGGGGAGGTCTCACACATCCCTATCGCGCCGGCCTTGGATGTATATTTGAGCAAGGAGGTATAATAGACTGGAGGGAGAACGAAGTGAAAATACGTAATTTCTCAAGGAACGGTCTTAATAGTAACATAATTTTCTATTTAACACCGCGTAATTATCACAATTTAAAGTTATCCAATCACATTTCACTTTTGACATAAATTATCTAATGATTTTGTTCCTAGGGATCGTTCATAAATTACGCAACGCAAAAAATATTTTAAGAACAGAAAGAAGTTGGAGATACTAAGCTCTTTTACGCGGCGATTTTCATTTAACTTAATATCCTATTTTGATTATTTATTTAAATTAAGACTCTGAGAAGGAAAACTTTTGATCTTTTTTTGTTTTATTTATTATGAAATTTTGCGATACGTAATATATAAACGTCATAAGTAATGCAAATAAAAGATAGAAGTTTAAAAAATTTGTAAACAATAGAGTTAGATTATTGTTATTTTTTTATGTTGTGATTTTTGAAGGATAATGACAAATTTCTAGATTAGAGTTAAATTAATAAATGTCTAAATAAAAGTTGGTAGTATTTTTGCCGGATTTTACAAAAAGGTATTTTATATCTTTATATTTAGAATGAAGCAGTTTGTTTTTAAATCCAGCGAAAATATTACAACTCAAAATAAAATTCTGGAGAGATATAACAAGTTCATTGTAAAAAAAACGTTCTTTAAGAACGTAACAAAACTATAGCTAAACGGGAAGCAAAAGATATGGCTCAACCAAGTGCAAGTGGTTGTCTAAAAATTTGATATTTATACCTAGTATCGAGGTATTCAAAAAACGATTACTTTGCGTAGATCTTGATCTTTATTATGATTACTGCATGATAGTTGGAACAGTTATTAAAAATTTATCCAGTCAACTTTTTAGAAAGTAATCCATTTCTATTACTGCTTGCAAAAGTTACAAACTACATTTTAAATTTTTCCTTTTTCAACGCAAAGGCATTTTGACTCGCTGCTGGAATATTTATACAAAAAGACTGTACAACGATTTTCGGCCTCGTTCTCCCTTTATTCTATTACACCTCCTTGATTCGAGATACAAAGAACAAAGCAAATTTTTATAATTTACGACAAACCTTGAACCAAAACAAAGTTTCTTTTGCCTTTTATTTTCGCTTTAAATGAAATTAATGGTGTAATGGTTAAAAAAAAAAAGTCCTCCGTTTTTCAAATTCACGGATTGACTTGTCTGTTGACTATTTGACGACTAAATGAACAAAAAAAAATCATTGTTAGGGGGCTGGGGGAGGGATTCACACACACCTTTCGCGCCGGCCTTAATTGCAATCGCTTTTGGCATATGGCGTTGCTTATAAGTAAAGAAAATATAAGTAACGAGAAAAGTCACTACTAAATATACATCGATTTAGCATTGGTGTATATTCTTATTAAAACTTTCTTTATTAAGTAGTAAAAAATCTTATATGTGCGGCTATAGAGTGGCGATTGCGAGGCGATCACAAGTGATGGTCACTAAACGATAATTTCCGGTTAAAATTTTGAGAGCGGAGTTCGCTGCCGGTGGTGTAAAATCCACCGGAGCCTCCGATATTTTGCAGCCGTATAAATATATATTACGTAATGGTAAGAAGTAACACCGTAGCCATAATAAAAACAAAATTAGGGCTTGGATTATAACGCAGTTAGAGGAAATAAAAAGTTACGTTAAATATTTACGAGGTAAAAATCTTTTTATTTCTTAGTTTTTATATAAAAGTATTATCATTAGTTAGAAGAATCATTCCAAAATTTTTTTTAAACAAATACTCACACACAGATATATATATATATATATATATATATATATATATATATATATATATATATATATATATATATATATATATATATATATATATATATATATATATATATATATTAACTAAATTTTTTATTCTACAACTGTAAAAAAAAATTATCACTTGCAAGTTAATAGTTTAAAGGTGTTATTTTTTATATATAAACGGCATGATAACTTGATAAGTTATTTAAAAATTTTTAACAAAAACTCAAAATTCGATGGTTTTTTAAATTTATATTATGCAATAAAATTTGTTATATAAAAGTAAAGCTTAAAGTGTGTTGAACACAATTAATTATGTATGTAAAAAAGATTATAATAAAAATTTAACTGAAAAAATACATACTTGGTAAAAATTTTAATATTAAAATCTTGATTTTTTCAAAGTTCAGATTAAATAATGTTTTTTTCTTTAAAATTAAAACCTTGATGCTCAAATAAAGTAGCAAAGTAGAATTGTAAAAGTTTGTTTTGTAAGCAATTACATTACAATTTTTTTATTTTTTTTCTTATCTGTATATAGTTAAGTTGTATTTTTTTTAACAATTGTTTCATTTGATTTTGTTGCATCACTATGTGGCAGTGATGATAGTCTAAAATATTTTTTCAAATTTTTACAAGAGTTTCATAAGCTTCTCTTGGTTGTATTTCTAAAATTTTTTAGAATAAAAAATATTTTAAGGGGTCCCTCAAGACCCTCGAATATTTAATGGGTCCCGAATATTTTCGAAAAAAAAGTTTTTCAAAAGTGTGTCAACCTTGTACTCAAATGAAGCCAAATAATATAAATATTTCAAAAATAATATTTATTTAAAAATATTTTTAACTTATTTTTCAAAATTATCATAAAAAAACATTAGAAATGCATTTTTTTTCATTTTTTCTTTAAAAACGCAATTTTTTATGTAATAAAACCAAAAATAACAATTTTGTTTCGAAATGAATATTATTTTTAAAATTTTTATATAATTTCACTTCATTTGAGTACCAGGTTGACATCTTTTTGAAAAACTTTTTTTTCGAAAATATTAGGGACCCATAATATATTAGAGAGTCTTTTGAATAAAAAATATTTTAAGGTCTCCCTTAAAATATTTTTTATTCAAAAAAAATTAAAACCTAGTGTTTTTGCATTAGATAGAACACATTTAGGGGGTGAGAGCAGATTATTTTCAAAAATGTTGTTTTTTGGGACACCCTAATATATATATATATATATATATATATATATATATATATATATATATATATATATATATATATATATATATATATATATATATATATATATATATATATGCATCCATCCATCCATTCGGAGTGGCATCACTCTGTATTAAAAGTATTGTTTTAAAATTACCTGTCTTTAATTAGGGGAAAATAAACTAAAAAAATAAGTTTCAGTGTATTGAGTTTTTTTATTCCTAAAAAGTTGTTGTACAGTTTGTTGCACTAACAAAATAAAATAAAAAAACATAACTTAAGTTATCCTAAAGATGAAGTACTTAAAAAAAAGTGGTTGAATACAATAAATTATGCTGTAGATAGTAATGCATGTAGCAAGCAATTGTTTCCTAAAATCTTGTGATGTTCATGTTTGTTCAGCACACTTTATTACTGGTTAGTACTGATATTTTAGTATTTATTTACACACTAATTTGGTATTTATATCACTAATAAACTTAGTAGTGGTAAATAAATATCAAAATATCAGTACTTTTTATACCTTAAAGTAACCAAAATAATATGTAGACAGCAATGTAAGGCATCATTTTATTTAAACAGAGATCTAAAAGTATGTACAAATAAAGTAAAATCACCTAAAAGACTTATTTTGCAGACATCTATTCACTGTTTCTTTTGATTAACTTTTAAAGTAATTTTAGGACGTAAAGTTATTGTTAAATAATGTTTTCTTAACTTTGCATATAAGAAAGAATAATTTGTTTTCCCTCCATTCAATATGGTTACTTTTGATTTTGCAATATAGCCGTGTGATTCCGACTGGATGAATATCATGAACCATGACCTCATGGATAAAGCCACAGATGTCACATTTTTCTCAAAATGAGAAAAAAATTAGTGTTCAGAGACATCAGATATCTATTTATTAATGATGTATTTGTATCAAAGTATTTTTTGCTTCTCAAATAAAAGTTTACTGAGTTTGAAGACATTCAGCTCTCTTCCTCTGAACAAATTTTCTCTCTGTTGTTCTTTTCTGTTGAAATGTTTTCTCTGATGAAGCTGGAGTGATGCATTCAAAGCATTCTTGTTTTGTAAAATATTTTCAGCAGCATTATAATCAGACAATTTATTGAGTCTCCTTTTAGTATATATATGTGTATGTATAGAGAGGAGGACAGAAAAATAGTGGAAAATCTGCATTTTTTTGCAAAAAAAAACAATGTTCGCTGTAAAAAAAATAAATTAGTCAATTAAAAATATTTTTTATAACTGAATTATTTATTTTGTGTACCTGTGGCTGTCAAATCTGATATATCTGTGTTTTTTATCAAGTCAGGTATAGTGATATACACAGATTGGTTTGTGTATAAAATCTCTAAAAATGTTTAGGTAGTACTCAATGCAACTAAGGCATAGAACAATCTCATAAAAAAAAGCAGATAATTTTAAACAAATTTGATTTGTTGTTAGTGGCAAACCGAAAAACTTTTTAGTTATTGGTATTTAATTTATGCAAATAAAGAATTCGAATTGAAAGTAATTTATTTAAAAAGTTTTCTGCCTCTGTTTTTTTATTGTTTATGCATTCTTAATGGAATAATTTATTATTTCAAGATGGCTGAATAAGTCCCGAGTATTTCAAAAAATGATACTAAATACCGAATACAGGGGCTATAGTCGCATTACTTTTACCAGATTATAATAGTGGTTAAAATAATCTTTCCACACTTACCAAATATGTCATACTTTTTGATGAAAAAACTTACATATATTGTAATTGAAAAAACTTATATTTTTGTTCGGAAAAATGTCTACCAGGCCTTAGTTGCATTGAGTACTTATGAATAACCATGGAGTTAAGGTTGTTCTGTTATTAATTTTCTGCTTTATCTATAGCAAAAATAAGGGAAGAAATATCCAAATCCAGCTCATCATTGTTTTTGAATTGTTGAAATATATTATTTTTATTCTGTCATCTTCTGTTGTAATTTTAAAACACTTTAGACTAACACAGTTACATGGTATTCCTGCCACATGATTTTTCAATTTTAGATCTGGAACAGACCTCCTTTAACTGTTGTTTTTTAAATGTTTTTATATGAACGTAATGTTGTTTACATCATCCGACATTATTTTTAATGATAAAAGTTAGTCATGTGACTTATTCTTTTATTATTATTAAAATATCATAAAAGTATCTTAAACTTGAAGTTTTCAAAAAGTGGACATCTGTGGTTTTACCTGTGTGGTCTATATATATATATATATATATATATATATATATATATATATATATATATATATATATATATATATATATATATATATATATATATATATATATATATATATATATATACATATATATATACATATATATATATATATATATATATATATATATATATATATATATATATATATATATATATATATATATATATATATATATATATATATATATATATATATATATATATATATATATATATATATATATATATATATATATATATATATATATATATATATATATATATATATACTCTTGCATGGTAGTCAAAAAGAGTTTACCATAAACTGTAGTTTTAAAGAGTGCGTTAATAAACCAGACCAGAAGAAATTTAAAAACTTAATTTTTTTTTTTTTCAAAGTGATAGACTGCCTGCCCAAACCAAACCCTCAGTCGATGTAGCAGCACTCCGTTTCGAGTCAGGCTATAAGATAGTCGATGTAGAAACACTCCCTTGTAGCAGCAGGCTATAAGATAGTCGATGTAGCAACATTTACGCATGTTTTAAAAATGTTTTTATTAAAAGAAAAACAAAAACACCACTAATTAAAAGAAACTTTCTAGTCGTTATTATTGGGGTTTTTTAAAAATTTTTCAAAAACCAATAAAATTTAATTTACTTCCGCATTAATTTAATTGCTTTGACATTTCGACGACAATCAAATACAGCTTAAGAGACAAAGTAATTAAAATTGTAGTCGAAAGAGACTTTTTTTACATTAAAAGACTCTTTCGACTACACTAATGTATATATATATATATAATATATATATATATATATATATATATATATATATATATATTCTGATTCACTCCCAATAAGGCTGTATGCAACCACTAATAAGTTTGGAGTTACAAGAATTAAAAAGAATAGAGTTATAAAGCAATGAAATGGTTTACAGAAGGCTTAAAGAGTTGTAGGTTGTATTCAGGAAAACATAAAGTTGGGAGAGAGTTCTAAAGGGTTAAAATGCAAGTAAAGAAACTAGACAAATAGAATTTTTAAAGCATGCAGGGACAGATACAGTAAACAAATGAGACTTATTGGACCCTCTCAGATAGACAGTCTAAAAATGGTCTTTTTCTTCTAGACAAGATCTAAAAATGCATAATAAACTATGTTTACAATGCATTTTTAGACCTTGTCTAGAAAAAAAAGAGCATCATTAGAAGAACCAGCTCGAATATAAAAAAAAGTAAAAAAAAGGACTTATAGGGGTTGTCATTTATTATTATAAGAATGTCGACAGTATTGCGATAATTGTTTATAGTAAATAACTGAATTTTGTTGGAGTTAAAATTTACAAGCCACTGCAAGCCCCAATCTGTTACAGAAGTGAGATCAGATTCAAGATCAGCTGCCTGTTCTAAGCAATCAATAAAATATAGCAAAAACATTTGCTCAAAAATATAATCTTTTTGTACTAAAAAGTAGAAAATTAAATTTATAATTTAAATTTAATAGTTCAGTAAACTAAAGATTGGCAGGTCTGCACAAGATTTTTTATAGAAACATACCTGTCAATCTATAGTTTACTGAGCTATTAAATTTAAATTTATTTAAAAGTTTATTTTCTACTTTTTAGTACAAATAAGATTATATTTTTGAGCAAATGTTTTTGCTATATTTTATTTTCTACTTTTTAGTCTTTACAAAAAGTTACCATATATCAATATTAAACAAAAACTTTTTCTTTTTTTTTTAAAAAAAAAAGTCTTTTTAAAAGATTAAAAAAAAAATATTAAACTCACAAGCAATCTTTGCTTGTGGGTTTAAAAATGAAAAAATTTATTTATAAAAAGAAAAAAGTTATTAAAAAAAAAAGAATAACAAACCTGCAATCAGTATTAGCCGATTTTCAAAATAAAAAAGATTTTTCGAAGAGAAAAAGTTAAATTTTTCAATTTAAAAAAAAAATGTAATTATAAAAGAACACAATTTTTATTAAAAAAAAAAATTACAAACCCACAAGCAATGTAAGCCTATTTTAAAAATAAAAAGATTTATTAATGATTAAAATTACCTAATCAACAAACAAACTTGCAAGCAATATAGTAGCTAATTTTATATAAAAGGTTAGTTTTAATGTGCACCAAAGACGACAAAGAAAGTTGAGAAAGAGTTCATATCAATTGAACACTCTTCAAGTCTTTGTTGGTTCAACTAACAGCACTATTGCACCTTCTAACATCATGTGTAATTCCTGTCCGCTTTCTCTGTCATCTTTCTAACATGACTACTTCTGTCTTTCACTCTTATATACCTTCGTTCTTCCCAAACTCACCTTACTTTATCTTGGTCCATAGAGCAGGTAATGACGCTCCTTAAGGAGCTGAACTTGTTTTTGCAAGCCTTGGTAATGTGGCCTCCACAAGGCTATAAGCTGGTGGAGGATAAACCACAATACCATTAAGTGAAAGAAAAGATTATAAAAAGAGAGGACTTTTTATCAAGAAAGTAGTATTAAGTTGAGTCATCAGCAAAAAGCAACTTTAGATGTAAGGTTGTCAAAAAGATCATTAATTTAGATTAGAAACAAAACAGGACCAGAACCTTGAGGTACCCCAAAAGTTATTGGAAATGAAGATAGTGTTGTAGTTTGTTGTAAAGCAGTTTGATAATCTCAAAAACTTTTTTTCAGATACACCATATGAAGCAAGCTTATGGAAAAGACCAGCATGCCAAACTTCGTCAAAAGCTTTATTTATTTTATATATATATATATATATATATATATATATATATATATATATATATATATATATATATATATATTATGTTAGTGTATTCTACAAATAGAGTGTTCAATGTTCTTAAAAAACAGAACAATAATAATTTAGTAAAAACACTTATCTAAATTTTGTGCTCTTCAACAGCATGTTTCAACATCAGTATATATATGTATATATGTATGTATATATATATATATATATATATATATATATATATATATATATATATATATATATTATATATATATATATATATCGTTAGTACTCAAATATAGGGAAATTAAATCATATAAATCCTAAAGAATTGTAAAAAAAGATATCAATAAACTTATAGAAATTCATGTTTTTTATTCATGTTTGAAATAAAAATTGTAGTTTTTTGTGTATTAAAATCTCAACAAACGCTAAAGATAACCATAGCACATTAAAAACACTGAGTTGTGATTTTCTATATAAAGGGGTTTTAAGGCACCATAATATCTGTATATACATACACAACCCTTGGAATTAGGGTCGGCATTGGGCAATCCTGACCTAACTACCAACTTGAAAGTGGTTGAAGTTGGCAAAAAATTGCCGACCTCGTTTTTGGTCAGACCTTTGTATTGTTTTATGATCATTATATGGTCAGACCTTTGTATCAAATAATTTTTGCCAACCTGATGCCGACCTTAGAAAGATTGAAGTTGGCAATTTATTGCCGGCCTCATTTTTCCTTATTCCAAGGGTTGCATACATATAGAGAGAAAAAGGATATCTTTAAATTATTGAGTGTTTTCTTCTTGTTCTTCTTGTTGTTATTCAATTATGATTAAGCTCTTCATACAGGGGGCAGAAATAGATCCTAGTTGCCATTTTATTTAAAACTCTGAACCAAATTAGCAAAATTTAAAAAGTTAAATTTTTTGCCATAAGGTTATGTCTATAAAATTGAACTTGAACAACAAAGTCGAAAAATTTTTGTGTTTTTATATAGTGGTATATGAAAATGTTTAAATTTTAAAAAAATGCGATAAAAAAAATAAATAAAGAATAAATTACGAATCATCAGATGAAAATGATCTGGGAAACTCAGTAAATAATAATAATTCAATATTTTTAAATTTTCTATGAAATTAAGTTCAGAATAAGTCTTTTTTTATAAGGGCCTACTAGTGATATGCATATTTTTGACAAATATAACAAACAATGTAAGACTAAATTACTACACAATATACAAATGCTCAAAGAAATAATCTCGATAGATTGCTTATTTCTTTGAGCATTTAAAGTTTAATATTAAATTGGCATTGTATTATACTAACATATTTACATTATCAAATTTAAAATAGTAACTTATAAGATTTCTATATAAAATGTTTCTATATGTAATAAATTTCTATGTATAATGAGAGTATCACAGTTCTTAGGAAGTACATGACAAATAAACATCTCATACAGTGTGCATAAATATATAACTAACTTGTAGCTAATTTAATTATTATTAAAAATAAGTTAAATTGGTGTTTAAACATATAATTGTGCTTTTAATGATCATATACTAAAAATATACTGAAACAAAGGAAAACTATTCCAAAATTTATGCCAAATAAAGCAGAAACCACCAAAAAAAGATTATGAAAGATTGAATGTTATGTATAATTTCAAGATTGAAAATTTCTTTATGAAATTAGACATGTTATTATTTGCAGTTAAGTTTATGCCATTTACAACTATATTCAAAATATTAGGATCAGCTAATTTCAAGTTTTCTTGTATTATACATAAACAAGTATCAATATTTTTCATGTTTTAACTATATAAAAATATGAGTTTCATTTATAAAATCTTATAAATAGGTGTTTTAAGATTTATTAATAATAAAACAAATTTTAAAACACTTATCAAGCCTTACTGGGACACAATTATTGCATAGCCATTTAGAATAAAATACATATAATGTTTTCGCCACATAAAATCGGATATATCATTTAACTTGTAAAAATCATTATTAGAGACCCGACGGACGTCCACGGAATATAAACCAAATTTATATTAATAATATACATATTATACTATGTATTTCAAGTCTCAAATTACTGGACTGCTTCGGACTGTTAAAGTATTTGACTATTTAAATGAAATTTTAACTAAAAAAAGTACTTCAAATATGCCGTCATTTGAAATCATTTCATTTGACATAACTTAAGTGCTAAATAGTGTTGTAATAACTCATTTGAAAGATAATATTTTATTTGATTAAATTATGCAATAAAAAGAAAGGTTTAAAAACTAACATCTGTTCCATGTTTATTAGTAATACAAAAAAAAAAATTTTTAATTAAAAAAAAATTTTAAACTACAGCTTAGAAGCATACGTCATGATAATTATACAAAAATATATTTTATAAAACCTCAATGTTTAAGCTATAAAATGGTATATAATAATGTAATTTTTGAAAATGTACTTTTTTTACTTTTGTCCACCACCTGTCTCACTGTGCAAATAGCTTTAGTATAATTTTTTATTGGTTGATTTTTAAATTATCGCACAAATTTTTCGGACCTTTAGTAATTTTTTTTTCTATACCTTTTTTTTTTATTTGTAATGTTTTTAGCATTAAATTCATTGTTTTGTTTTTTTTATTAATTTTTGCAGTATGATAAATTTTTTCATTAAAACAGTGTTCACAGTTTTTAATAAATTGAGAATATCACAATTAGCAATCATTTAATTCGAGCCTTAGATGATTTGTTAAGAGGAAGGGGAGGAGAGGGAGGGGGGGAAGAGTATCTGGTTTTTGATGCAACAATTATTTTGAATATTTTTTAAGTTTCAAGTCTAAGTAAATTTTTCTTTTGATTGAAAGAATCTGGCCAAACATAAACTCTCAATTGGCGTATATTACTGTTCTTATTCATATCTAAGTCAGTCATCATAGCTGAGCTGCAGTCTAGTTTTTAAACAAAAGTTAATAACAATGTATTTATTAATAAACAACAATAATAGAAAATACATAAAATGTATGTTTTAAAATAAAACACATAAAATGTGTATTTTGAAATAAAACATGATAACACATAAAATGTATATTAAAATAAACATGAAAACACAAAATAAATATAAAAATCAATAAAATGTGTATTTTGAAATAAAACATGAGATGTTATAAAAATAAAAAAATCTATCACCGTGATTTTAGCCTGCATCTCTGCCTTTACAAATTATTTAAGTAAAAGTAGCTAAGAACATTTTAGGGGGAGGATTACAAATTTGTTACATAATTTTAGGTAGAGGTGGAGAAAGTCATAAATTGTTTTGGTTTGTTGCAAGGAGGAGGGAGGGAGGGGGAAGGCATTCAAAACTGTCAAAAACTGTGTGGTGTAATTTATGGACGACCTTCAGTACTAAAGCCTCCACACTTTGTTTTTCCAATTTGTTATAATTTATGTTATTTTATGCAGATTTAAGAAGATGTTTGTATAACAAATAGTTAATAAAGTTGTCTCTTTTTAGCAATTAAAATGAATCCAAATGAACCTCCTAAGTATGAAGAAAGTATGATTAATTCTCAACCTCCCCCTAATTATACCTCAAATTATCCACCACCAATGCAACCTGGATATTATGTTCCACCTGGAAATGTTTACCCACCTCCAGATCAAATGCACACAAAACCAATGCAACAACCAATGTATCCACCAGGTCCAGCAACTAACATTGTAGTCCAACCTCAAGTAGCTGCTGCTTACGTTATTGCTTTTAATATGGCTCCTATCAGAATGCAATGTCCTCACTGCCAAGCACAAATTGTAACTTCTATTGAGTATGTGTCTGGTTTATTAGCGTGGTTACTTTGTTTGGGAATGTTCTTTTTCGGGTAAGTATTTTATTAAATTTCTAATTTACAATATAATTTAAAGATATATGTTTTACTAATTTAAAATTTACTTTTGAAAAGATGCAGCATTTCACTAAGAGGAACAACTTAAATCCTAGACTCGATATGATAAACTAAAAATCAACTTTAATAAAAATGGTTATAGGAAAATTAAAAATCAAAAACTAAAAATCAACTTTGATAAAAATGGTTATAGGAAAATTAGTAAAAATTTATGATTTTGATTTCTAAAGAAAATAATTTAGAAGAGTTTATTAACAAGAATTTGATAAGGATTTTTACTATTTCCCTGAAACTCTGATTAGTCAAAACAGGTAAGTTTTTAAAAATTAATGGCTTTGATGAAAATACAAAAGTGGTAAATTTAACTCTTAAATTTACCACTTTTGTTTTCTTGCACCTATATTTAATATTTGTAAACAGTAAAAGTAAAAATAATATACTGAAAATGATATGTTAGGGATAAAAGACATCATATTTACACCCCCTAATACCCCTATATTTTCAAAAAGATAAATAAATAGAGATTGTGTCTCTTTTTAAAAAAAATGAAATACTAATGATGGCAGATACAAAAATCACGTGACCTTTGCAAATTTTTTTAATTTTTTTTTTTACAAAAAAAAAAAGTCTGGCTTAAAAAATGTTGATATATTACTTATCAAGACTTAAAACTACTCGTTGTGCATTCTGTAAGTGGTGTAAGTGGTGTACGTGGTGCATTCTGTTAAAAAAAAAAAATAAAAATAGAGTGCTTAAGCACTTAAAAATCTTTAAGATATCAAAATTTATCAACAAGTTAGCCAGGACCACAAAAATTTAACTAAATATAATACCACAAAAAACAGTTTTATACCATGAAAGGCATCAAATTTGCACCCAAAACTATATATTTTATAAAAGATAAACTCATAGACATTATGAATCTTTAAAAAAAAAATTAAAATATCAGTGACAGCAGACATTATTATCACGTGAATTTTCAAAAAAAAAAAAAATTTTAATCAAAATCAAACACTTTTAAAAAAACTATCAACTTAGGGGTAGTTTACAAACTACATCACTAAATTTTCAACTATTTGAGATCCCTCTCCTTGTCACAACATCACAACACTTTAGTAACAAGTTACATGTAAGTTGTCAATAAACCACTAACATCCCCGCTCGTTCTCTGCTCCCCCCCCCATCCCCAAAGTGTGACAATTTATGGACCCCTTATTTCTATTATGGAGCTTCAAAAGTTAGTTTATTACGGCTAATTTTGAAGCTGAGCCTTAAAAGCATAAAATCAACTAGTTTTGATTAATGGCTCTGCTAAAAAAAATCTTTAATTATTGATTTATTACTACAGGGCCGTTAATGACCCGTTTCGGCACGAAAGAGTTAATCCATTTTATCAACTTTTGTTTCAGCTGTTATAAAGTTTTTTATTTCGACTGTTAAAAAGTTAACTTAATTAATTTTATAACAGTCCAAAAATAATATTTTATTTAATATGCTACATTTGAAATTTAAAATGTCAAAAAAATTTTAAATGTCAATTTTCTAAAATGCAGATATTTTTTTAATTAGATTTTAAACCTGTAGATAAATTTTTTTAATGTAGAATTAAATTTTATTAAGAAGAATTAGTGACACATAAAATTGTTTATTAGGACAGACAAATTAGTGATACATGAAATTGTTTATTAGGACAGACAAATTAGTGACACTTAAAATCGTTTACTAAGACAGGTGAATTAGAAATACATAAAACTATTTATTAATTTTTTTTTTATTAAAATGAATTGGCACTATTAAGACAAATAGTAAAACATGAAATATCACTAAACATTGAAATCCTTTTAAGTGCAACAAAGCTATTATATTAACAAAGTTGCTTATTTAGGCCCACATAATGCACTATATCAATTTGAAAATAAATTTTGTTTTAGAAAAATTGCCACAGGTTGTCACCAAACTAAATCCCTGTTAAAATATTGGCAAAATAATTTTTAAAAGAAGTTAAATTAGTTTATGAGTATTATCTTTGGGGTGGGTCAATCTTTGTTCTTTTATCTTGAAAAGCATTGGTCAGGTGTCCAATTGTCACCAATTGTACTAGAACTAAATTATGTATTAAAAAAATGTTTCTGCAGGTGGAAAATATTTAAAAATTGTCTGGATTTTAGTGACTACCCGTGGTTTCATAATTTTTGATAAAAAAAAAGAATTAAAACCAATTTAAATTAATTTTTTATCTTGTGATAACACAGACTGTGTGGTGTCTCAAAAATAAATCCAAATATTATTGATTCAAAAAGAGAACTTCACAAAATCACAAAGTTCTACTCCAATGATGTCATAAATCAACTTTCTCTAAATGTTAAGAACTTCTTTCCAGTAGTTACAAATGGAACATTAAGGTTTGGGTCATCTTTTAACTCTTAAATTCCAAGATTTATGTAAAAATTCTACATTTAACATTGTTAAAAATATGTCATGGGCACAATTTAACCGCTATCTCCATGGAATCCTTCATCACTCAGTTAAATCATTTTTAATTTTCTTTAAGTATGTCTTATAAATTACTCTTTTAGCTGTCATCTAAAAATAATTTAACTTTTAATATTTATCAAAAAACACTATTTTGTCAAAAATGCCTAAATATGGTAATTTTTGACAAAATTACCATATTTAGGCATTGCTACCCAGCCCGCAAATTAAGTTTAATATTAAAAATTTTAATTTTTCTATAACCAGCAAAAGTATCTTTAAAAAGTTTAAATATTAGTTATGATTCTATTTCTAAAACTTTGCCTTCTGTGGCACAGTAATGAAAGTGATTTAAGTTAAGTTAGATGTTTAGTATGAAGCTAATACATTTACTTTCTTGAGGAGGTCACTTTTAATGTAATTCTCTCTAATTTTGTCTTAAATTTTTAATCATTTTGTATTTTTGAATATAAGTTTGCTATCCTTTTATCAAACTCAAAGCTTTTTAGCTTATTTTCATCATCAGGCAATTTTATCCAAGTTTGCTCAGTAAATGAGCTGTGACTGCATAGCTTATTGCTTAGGGTGTTATGCACTGTCTACAATCAAATCAAGTTCTCTAACGTTTTAGAGCATGACTAGTTAAAATGACTTAGTTACATGACTAAGTACCTAAAAATGTAAAACATAAAAACAACATCACCACTACATAACTATTTCAGTTTTTAACAGATGTTTGTGATCTTCAACTCAGATCTTCAAATTAAATTAGGATCTTTAAATTAATTAAGATTTAACTGATAAAAATATCAGTTAAATCTTAACTTTTGAAAAAAATTTTACTAGACACTTGCTCTTTGTGAAAATAATTTGAATTCTTTCATCTTCAGATCTCAGTGCTGATAGCTATTATCCTTTGATTTGCGAAGACTCCAATAGTCGCATGCATTGCCCGGTATATACTTACATTTCAATTCACCTATTCATTGTGAATTTTGTGAATGGGGGGAGAATTCAAATTATAAGGAATTTTCTCCCCATCATCCCACTACTTATTACTACTTTAAAACTTACAGATTTTTTTCATGATTTTTTTTTTGCTAATAACTGTGCCTCCTTCATAATCTTCTTGATCCAGTCAGGTATGGAAGCTAATATTTCTTCTTGTCAGTTTTAAGTGAAGCCTCATTCTACTCCATGGTTTTCACCTTTATGTGAAGTTGGTATTTCTAATAACAATCATTTTTAAACTTTTGCTTCACTTCTGCTATAGCATGGGGCTCACAGCAGCTGGTGAACTTTAATTCAGATAAAACTCAATTTTTTTCATCAAATCCGTTGCAAAATTAGCATCTGCTAAAGTTACATCTCTTTATCAAGCTCAACTTTATCGAGTAACTTTCTTACTCCGGATTCTATTCTCTATCTCTATAAATCTCAAATTCGGCCTTGTATGGAATGCTGTTGCCATATCTGGATCGGATCTTCTAATGATGCCCTTTCTCTTTTAGACAAGGTGAAAAAACGTATTGTAAACATAGTTGGACCTGCTCTTGCAGCCAACCTTCAACCATTATCACATCGTCATAATGTTGCTTCTCTTTCTCTTTTATACAAATACTATGATGGGCACTGCTCTTAAGATCTAGCGTCTCTTGTGCCATCTACTAAAATTCATTCTCATGTTACTTGTCATTCAATAAAGTCTCATCCTTTTTCTGTGACTGTTCCTAAGTGCTCCAAAAACTCTTATTTCTCTAGTTTTTTTCCTCGAGTATCAGTTTTTTGGAATTCGCTTCCTTCACCTTATTTTCCTGATTCATATAATTTGCAATCTTTTAAGTCGTCTGTCAATCGTTATCTTGCTCTACAATTTTCATCTTTTCTCTTCCAGTAACTTCCAACTCTAATTAGTGGTTGCTTGCAGCCTTGTTGGAAGGGAAGGTGTTTAAAAAAAAAAACTTTCTTACAAAAACTACACTCTTGAGTCATTTTATTAATGCAAGAAATCAAAATTGTGGTTTCTGATGCTAAGCTCCAATATTCTCAGTTTACTATTTCTTGTATTTATGTCTTCTAAACTCATCTACTGCTTATGGTTCAGACAACATTTCTGTCAGTCTTAAAAATGTCCTCAAATCTTTTTATTAATACTCTCTATAATTACCTATAACTAATAAGTGTTAAACTGAAAGTTTTTGTTGTTTTTTTTTGCCTGCTGGGAATTCTGAAGATTGCTTTAATCCAATTAACTATCATCCATTCAGTCTTATCTCTATTATTAAATCAAGGTCTTTGAGTCTTGAATAAACTTCTAATATCTCATCTTGAGTCTACTAGACTCCAACAATCAATAGGAGTTTTAGTTATCTTTTTCTACAGCTGATTTAAACTTAACTGTTAAAACAGAAAATGTTCCATCGGAAGGTAGCTACACAAGAGCTAATGGTCTTGATTTATCAAAAGCTTTTGATAAAGTCTAACATGCTGGTCTTCTCTATAAGCTTGCTTCATATGATGTATCTGAGAAAGTTTTTGAGATTATTAAATCATTTCTTTCTAACCACTGTATTAAAGTTTTCCTCAAAGGCCAAATCTTTTCAATTCCAGTAACTTCTGAGGTACCACAAATTTCTAACCTTTTCCTGTATTGTTTCTCATCTATATTAAGGATTTTCCGAACAATCTTACACACAAAGTGGCTTTATTTGCTGACGACTATATACTTCAGTTGTGGTAAAAAGTCATCACTTTTTAATTGTTGAGAATAGCTGATCTTGAATCTGATACAGCTTGGGGCTCACACTGGCTTTTTAATAATTAACTGAATTTTAATAATAAAACTCAGTTAATTATTGCAAACAATTATTGTCATATTGTTGGTGAATGGCAACTTTGACTGAATCCTTTACTTTATGTCTTCTCAGATTATCATTTACTATTGACATCTCATCGAAACCGTATAAACAATCGCTTTTTCATTCCTGTATGTATACAATCTATGTATGTAAACCTTTATGTAAACAATCTATTTTTCATTCCTGTATCTCTTTTTCATTCCTGTATTCATTCCTGGTTCTTCTAATGATGTTTTTCTCATTATTTTTTGAAACAATAAACTACTTGAATTATTTATTTATTCATTAATATATTACATTTTTTACTGGGCTCTTAAATAGAAACCAAATGTTTCTGCAAGCACTTGACATCATGTGCTGGATCTGAACAAAATTGATGCTATTTTGTTTAGATCCAGAACTTGGTATGAACAAAATTGATGCCCTTTAAGTACATTTGAATGTCACTAGATGTTGTTTGTTCCCATTTTGAAATATGTGACGTCCTAGAATGTGCTTTACCTATTTTATAGCTACAATCATATCTATCCTACTATCATATCTACAAATTCATTAGTGAAGAAGAGTTGAAAAATCTATAAATAGTCACCTGGATCACTATGAAAGATTTGTCTGCACATACCTAATTCAGGTTTACTTTTTGTCCAAAACAAATTATCAGTAACTTTAGTTGTTTTTTTTGTTTTTTTTTTGTAGTCATTCGCTGTCTTTTACTAGTTGGAACAACAAAAAAAATAGGCTGGGTAACAACTTTGATCAATTTCAGCAATGTCCTCTTCAGATATTTGTACCATCTATCACATTATTAAAGTCACTATCACTGAAAACTTAAATTTCATTGTCACTTTTAAGCTTAAAATTTACAATATCTTCTGTTTCAGTTTCACATCACTAGCTTTTTTTTTACAGCTTGCCATTTTAAAACATTGTTTACTAAAATTCAAATTTTATCAGTTACACTTTTAGAAAAATAGCCATTATGAGTTTAAAGTTTTTGTAGAAGAATGTTCAAGATTACAGGACTGGTTTCACTGCTTATGTTTCAGTATTGTAGTTATCACACTGCTTCAAACAAATATTTGCATTTATATATATCAACGCCAATTTTCGAAAGTTTTATCTTGCATATATATGTCATTAACGGTTAAAGGGAGAAACATTCTTTTATATACAAATCCGCATTCAAAGTTTTTATGAGTAATGTATGATGTACTTTTCAAACCACTGGAGTAGATTGTTAGCCATATAAGGAGTTTAGAAGCAAATTTCTCAAATTGAATATGCTTAAATTTCTTGGCAACATGTCTACCTTTTGACTGATAAAAATATTGCTGCCCTGCCAATTGTAAAAAATCCTTTTTATAATAGGTTTCATTGTCTTCAATTATGCACAAGTTTTTTTTGTTTAAAAGTTTATATTGCTTTTTTGAACAACAAATTGTTTTAATTTCTCCATCAATGGATTTTGGAGTTTCCTTTTTATGATATGCTTTATATTCTTGTGATCTAAGTACTTTTCCTATCAAATTTGGCTGCATTTACTTTTTCCTAAGTAGTTTTTGAGTAAATTAGCAATCAAAGGATAATTTAATCATGTTTAACCGTGTATAAAATTGTCATCCTCAGTTAAAATAAATGAACAAAGTTGTCATCCTCAGTTAAAATATAAGAACAAAGTTGTCATCCTCAGTTAAAATATATGAACAAAGTTGACATCCTCAGTTAAGATATATGAACAAAGTTGTCATCCTCAGTTAAAATATATGAACAAAATTGTCATCCTCAGTTAAAATATATGAACAAAATTGTCATCCTCAGTTAAAATATATGAAAAAAATTGTCATCCTCAGTTAAAATATATGAACAAAGTTGTCACCCTCAGTTAAAATATATGAACAAAGTTGTCATCCTCAGTTAAAATATACAAATAAAATTAGTACAAAATAGTTAAAGTATTCAACATCATAAAGCAGGGCCGACGACACCGGGGGGCCAGGGGGCACGTGCCCCCTACTTCAAAACCCGTATCGTCAGCCCTGTAAAGTAGTCAACATCATAAAGCAGTATAACATCATAAAAACAAAAGAAGTCAATAAAAGACTCAGGGAACTATTTTTATGTACATCTGATAGGTGAAACAAAAAATATATATATTTGTTTATATATTTAAATTGTATTTTTAGTGCTTGGTTATGTTGCTTTATTCCTTTTTGTGTTGATGGTTGTAAAGATGTAAATCACTCGTGTCCAAATTGTATGAAAGTTATTGGAACATTTAAAAGGATGTAATGATCTAAAATTGGAATTCAATTTTCTATTTAATTGTTTTTTCAATTATAATTTCTTTTATAAATAAGTATTTGTATATAATAATTTTTTTTTTTTGCTTAACTTGCATCTTTCAAAATTTTGTCTTAATTTTGTATTTATTTTGCAACTTTATTTTATGTTGCATATATAGTTTGAATTCATGGATGTAAAGTATCACTGTTTTTTGTATTTTAATTTTTTTTTAAATATATATATATATATATATATATATATATATATATATATATATATATATATATATATATATATATATATATATATATATATATATATATATATATATATATAAATGTGTATATATATATAAATGTGTATATATATATAAATGTGTATATATATATATAAATGTGTATATATATATAAATGTATATATATATATATATATATATATACATATATATATATATATATATATATATATATATATATATATATATATATATATATAACTAATTTTTACAAACTTACGCTTTAATAATTTTCCGCGCTTTAGTGTTATTTTGATTGTGATTCCACGTACGTGGTACTTCATTTTACCACGTACGTGGTACTTCATTTTACGCTTTAATGTGACACCATTTTTCTAATTTATAATTATTATAGAATAATATTAAAAAAAAAAAAAATACAAACGGTGTTTTTTATTCTTTATTGCTTTTATTTTCTTATTTTTAATTTTTTCAATGCTTTAATTAGTGAAAAGTTTCGGCAATTGATTCAAATATTTTTAATTGGCTTAGATCATGTACTTAGGGGTTGTCCAAAAAGTAGTTATGCTTTTATTTCGACCCTCCCTTCCCCCGCGTTTTTTTCTATACGCTTTTTTGAGAATTCTCCGCCTCACTAAAACCTACGCTTTTAATCTACCTACTCAACATTTTATGATATTTTTTAATTTAGTGTTTCCATACATTTATAATTGACCCCCTTTCCCCATCTCATATACGCCATTTGCAGGCCTCCGCTCCCCCATCCGAGCGAACTTACTTTATGGACGACCCATATGTACTTTTTAATCATAGATCGGAGGTTGGTTCAAAAACAAGTTGTTTTATTTTTAGTAATAAACAGTTATAAATACATATTTAAAACAGTTTATTTTTACGATATAATAGTTATAGATGTTTCGACTAAGGGATCAAAGCAAATATATGTACTTTTAAAAGAAATGTTATGCCATGGCATAATTTATTTATACTACCGGGTATATAGCATTTTAAAATAGAAAAATTGTTTGCAAAATTGTATTTAAAATTTAAGATTATTTAAATATTTGCAAAATTAATTTTCTTTTTAAGTTTAAAAAGTGTACAAATTTGAATATTAAATGAACATTATAGGAAAAAAATATTTATACCATTCTTTTAAAAATTAAATCAATTTTTTATTTTAAATAATAGATTTTTAATTAAATTGAGTAAACTAGAACAGGTATTAAAATATTTAAATCTTTTTCGTTTATCAAACAAAATAATTATAAAGATAATTTATTCATTAATTTTTTCCAAATTTTCTCTTTTAAAAAGATTTTACATGATCAACTTCCAACGTGGAAGTGCTCATGTCGTAATTTAGCATTTCGCAAATTGAATTTTAAAATAAAGCTTTTTGCTACCTACGAAAGTAGCGCTTTCGGATGTAGCATTTGCGAAACAAGTGTTTTCGCTAAACGACGTTTTGAAGTCCATTAAGAAAATTTGCTAAATGTATAAAATTGTAAAAATTAAACATCTTTATGTACCAAAATATTTCTAATTAAGTGTTATTTTCAGAATCGCAAAATATTATCAATATAAAACTTTACTTTTTGAAGCAATGATAAAAAAAGATATTTATATATGTCGAAATAAATTCTTTTGCAACGGTATCTCGAGGAACAGTCACTTTCGGAAAAAGGTTATGAAACACGTCATAATAGATATATGTAATTATTTTTGATGAACCAAAGATGTTTAATTAATTATGAAACTAAGTGCTATTTATTTGTTGTTATTCATCTAGTACTACTAATAATAATGATGGCTTGATACACCAAAATATATTTTATTCTTATTCTCTCGGTGATTTTTAGGCAAAAGATAAACTTTATGGCAAATTCTATAAATTTAAATAATTTTACAGATCTTTAATTAAATTACTTCATAATATTTATAAAGTTAATAGATATTGTCTTCAAGATATCTTCGTCTTGATGAGAAGTCTGAAACTGCCTTATGCAAGTTCTCTTCACGGTATTTGTGAGTTACATCTCTTTTATATCTATATTTAAGCAGCCATGGCGCACTTGCCTCAGGAACGTAAGATCCATGGTTCAAACCCTATCCTGTGCAAGTTTTGCGACTTCGGTTGGGAAGGAGGCGTGAACTTCCTATTAAATGCTCTTCCGCGGTGCTCTGTTAAGACCGTAAGGACTTTGTGGGGCACCTAAAATCAACATTAAAAAATATATATATATCTTTTTCTCTCAAGTTAGTTTAAAATTGGCATGAATTGCTTCTCCAGTTTGTTCTGCAAGACCAGATTGTTCTGCAAGACCACATTCTGTTTGTTCGACTAGACCACATAGTTTTTCTTATCTAAAAGGAACAATGTGGGCGAACATGATGTGAACCTTCCATGTTATGGGTAAGGTGTATATATAATCTTTTAAAAACTAGGTAATTGTATCAGTCTTTCAACTTAGCAATAGAACGCTTGACATTGACATCCACAACACGCTTTAAATTTCTTACTTTCTTTTACTTTCTATCAAAAATACTAAAGTTGTGTGATGTTGTTTATCTATTAAATTGTCTATTTGTCTGAAATCATAAATACGAAAACCTCCCTTCGTCATTCTCTAATTTTATGCCCACTAAAAAAAGGTCTCGTCATTAACTTCGATATTTTAATAATTTTAAATTATCTATCCGAAATCATTGTTCAGTAAAATACAATGATCATTCTATCACAAACCAATCCATAAAATTGTGGAATAATTGATCTCTTTATCTTCAATTACTCAACTCTACTTCACATTTAAAAATAGTGTTGTGACCAAAACTAAAAATTGTAACTAACTAAATTAAAAAAACCGTAACTTAAATTAGTCGACTAACTTTTAGTTAACTAAAGTTAGTCGATTAATTTTTAAGTTAACTAAAATTACCCGACTAACTTTTTTGTCTAACTTAAACTAGTCTACTAACTTTTTGGTTTACTAAAATTAGTCGACTAACTTTTTAGTTAACTAAAATTACCCGAATAACTTTTTAGTTAACTTAAAATTTACTAATTTTTACAAAATTTACTAATTAAAATTTACTTATTTACTAAGTTAAATATACTAAATATCTACCAAATAAATATTTATCATCTTCTAATTTTTGTGTTCAAAATTAATAAAAGTATTATTCCAAAAACTTTTAATCTCTTATTCAAAACTAATTAGAATAAATACTTAAATAGACATTCAAGCAACACCTACATACAACCCATAAGTTATTATGCGGCAACTGAGTTTTCAATTTCAATTAGAGGGCCAAAAGCATGGAATAAAATACTAACATCTGAACTTAAAACTCTTACATTGTTAAAAGAGTTTAAGGCCAAACTTAGACAGTTATTTCTAAAAAATGGTCTACCACAAAACTATTTCTAAAAAGGAAAATATCCTTATGATTGATCTATCAATTAAATGAAGAGTATATTAATAGGAGCATTACATGATTACGTGAAGGACATTTGTACACTGTTTGGAAATGAAATATTAAATTATACAAAAAACCAAGTAATGATTTTTCAAAAAAAAATATAGTTAAAAAAAATTTTAATGTTGCTTAAATATAGAGTAAAATCTATCTTTGACTTTTCAAAATGACTTGATTTTTGTTACATTTTGTTCGCATTACGTGTAGGACAAATAAAATACCACATTTTCGATTAAATGCATTTGAAAAATTCAGCGAATTATTAAAAAAATACAACTTTTTTTCTTTAATTGTTAATAGAGTAGAGTTTAATCAAAACAAAAGTATAATTTTTGATTCTTGAAAAATAATCAGTTTTTAATAAAATATAGTAAATAGTAAACTTACGTGAAGACAGTTTTGTTACGTGACGGACGCGTACAAACATAAGAATTAAAAATAGTTATTTGCAAAAAAACACTTGATCTTCGCCATCTAAATCGTGCTTTTTAGCTCAAATTGTTTTCGAATCACAAGATATTATATGAAAATTTGATATGCCGGTAATTGGAATGTCATCTTGCCATGGTCTGAAAATGTCAATCTGCGATTTAATATCTTCTTCAGAAGTGTTAATAATTTTAGTAGAAGTTACTAGTTGTGACGCTAATTCAGCAAAATTCTTAGCAGATTGAACTTCAACATCTGATTGAGATAGTATTTTTTGTTTTACAAGTCTTTTGACATTTCCTCCCACACCATCAACCACACCTTTCCCATGAGAAGTTGATGTATATTTCCAAGTAAATTGCTGATTGTATGCTGTATTCAAATAACTAAGGAACTTAACCATGTATTTGTTTTTAAATTCTGATGAGAGACCGTCGCTCCAGATGACATTTTGAACGTGTTCATCAGAACTTTGATCTTTAATTAGAGAATATAAATGTTTGATAAATACAAAAACTGTATCCTTGTCTTTATTGTGACTATTAGAACAAATCAAATAGGTTTTGCAAATTCCTTTATAAAAAACCGCCGCTGTAAATAAAAGAACGCTAGTTCTTGACCACAATGCAGATTGAATCTCATTCTGGTACTCTGTTGCAAATGACATGGCAAAGTCTACTTGTAAAACTTGTACGCTAGTTGAACCTTTGTCCTTTTCAAATGCTGCACTTTTTAGATCGACGTGATTCAAAAATTGCGGGTAGTCTACTTTGAGTCAATCAAAAAGTTCACCTGTACTCGACTCTCGTAAGACTAGCTGCAATCGACCTCCTTCATCTTTATCCCATTCTTTTCAAAATGTTTGCTGATGTA